GGAACTTCGTCCACAACATTACCTGGTTTTTCCTCGTCCAAAGGCTCGGGGCATTCGGCGCTTAAAATCGATATAAGGGGGCGATTTTATGGAACACCAGTTCATATAAATGTGCAAAGTAATTCTATATCACTCGGTCTTATTGGAAGAATGGGATACGTCCGCTGGAACAGGATTTTTATTCATCAAGTCTCGCTCGAACCCATCATTATTATTGGCGACCGTTTTTGATGAGAGGTTCCAGAAAAAAGCTGACACATCAGACGAATAAATATCTTATTTAGAAAAAAACGACTCGATCGCTCGGACAATATTTTATTCGCCTGACGTTTTGAGATCCGTCGCGGATTCGTCATCAGAGACATAGTCAGATAGCAGTAGCAGATATGGGTCAAACATCCTATTCTAAAAATCATGTATTATTACTTGAAATGCTTTCTGGAACTCGCCTCTACCATTCTAGAGCATTCTTACTGGAAGGGGCAAGAGTGGCCGTGCATGACTTTTATGTAGTTGGGGCAGGCATTCAAGCCCAGTGGTCAACAAAATGGTGCAAACAGACTGCAAAAGAGGGCAAAAAAGTGAATCAAACAAAGGAAGCATATCCAAAGCGGAAAGGAAATTTTGGTGGGGCAAAATTTAGCAGTACCCAGTAGATTTTGATCGACATAAGGCTCCTTTTCCAGGAATACACTGCTAAATACCTCGGATATTGACTGCGGAAAATATAGAGTAAAATATGCTGCTCAAGTCGGACACATTTTTTGAGAAAGATAATTTAGTGCGTAAATTTTCGACGCCAATTTGCCGGTTAAAATATGAGTAATGAAGAGGGCTAAGCGAATACTGGAACAGTCTGTTAATTTTCCTAAGCTTTTAAACTCTTAAGGGAGTTCGTCTTCAGAGGTAACAGCAGCAACGAAAAGGGGGACAATTATAGAGGGTATGAAGCAATCACCTTCCAGTGACGTACGTCTGAAGATAGTAGTGTAGGGCTCTGTAGGCCGGCGCCAAATCAATACTTCGATTGATTGATTGATTGAGTTCCCATCCGTGGACCAGTCTTGGTGGTTCATCAGGACGGTCGATTTTCCTAAGGACCGGCTTAATTCCAAAGAACAATCTGGAGTAGCGTATCGCATCTCATACCTAAGCTGTCCTTGTAATTACACAGGTCATACTGAACACATGCTCGGATCGCGCATCTATGAACATAAGCTGACTGTACGACGGAGTGAGGCTGTATCGCGTTTCTGCTCACACTTATGAAACGGGTCATGAGTTCAACTTCGCGACTGTCAAGATGCTCGCCCACACCGGAAACAAGACGAGTCGAGAATCGATTAAAGCTTGGTCCATGAATAGTAATTCGATGAGTCGATGGATCGATTTGGCGCCGGCATACAGGGTCCTACGCAGTCACCTCCACACGTGCTTCGTACCCTCTATAATTGCCTCATTTTTGCTGCCGCTGTTACCTCTGAAGACGAACTCCCGCCTCATATTCTCTATAATTGTTCCCCTTTTTGCTGCAGCTGTTACCTTCGAAAATGAACTCCTGTAAGAGTTTGAAAGTTTAGAACAAACTGTGTCGGTGTTCGATCAGCCTTCTTTCTTACTCATGTAAACACGTGGGCCGCGAACTTTTGCACACTCATTCGAGAGCAAAATATCTATAAGAAAGCTGAGTATCCTTGAAAAACAATAGGCGGTCACGGATCAAGAGGTATGTTGTGTGCCAGGGACCAGAAAAATTGCTAAATTTTAAGTTTTATTCTCCCTAGCTTGTGGGTGCATTCAATTTAAAGAGGACATAAAATGCAGACGGCCAGTTGAACGTCAGCTAAGTCAGGTCTGAACAGCAATTCAAAAGAGATTACGAGAATATTTAAATAACTCACTCGATGTAGAAACTGGAAGAGCAGTGTCGAAAAACTGATCTACACGACTGGGCCAAGTTAGAGAGGTCTGTGCCGGATGTTTGAGTCACGCTTTCCTCCTGAGCCTAAGAAATTGGGTACAAATTGGATAATTTACCCATTCGGTTAGCTTATCTAAGAGGTCGGGAAAACGAAAGGACGACATCAGACCGCCATAATAATTCTCACTGGAAGGAGTGTGTTAGTGGCTGTAAAGAAAATAACCTGTCAATGTGGAGCACAGAGTTTCCCGTAATTGACAGACTAGCGGCGACGACTGATTCTATGAGACCTGCAATAAAATAATAATGTCAATGCTGAAAATTCTGTTTTCTTAATTAAGTATAATTCGTCAACTTTTCCGAGTTAAATACATGAAAATCATCGGCTAAAGCGAGCTCTCACAAAGGGTGCCAAAATATTTCGGCATTTAGATGAGAAGATATTTGAGAACATTTAATTATTTTTAGGAAAGTGTTATTTATTTCACTGTTAGAACTTAACCTTGAATTTTAGCATCACATATCTTAAGCTTGGCCATCCGCAGATCAAAAATATATGGACGAAAATGGTGGCGCAAACGTTTAGATAAGTCTAAAGAAAGCTGTCAACTCACTTTAAGAGAAGCGACGTATCGTTCATTTTGGGATCGTAGTATAATTCTTTTTTGTCAAACTAACGTTAAAAAGCAATCTATGGATATACTGCCTGGGCCACGTTGGTCGACAGGGGTCAACCTATGTAAAGGGCCGCAGTGAGGAAGACGATTCCACGCTCAAACGCAGTGTCTGAACAAAAATAATCGCACGTAAATTCTCTAGAATGGACTCCATGTTAGGTGCATTGGACGAAGAAACCCGACTAGCTCTGCTCCAGGCAAAACCACGAGACAAGCATGAGCTGCCTCCATGCAGGCACAACACAGTATTAGCGTTTAATTTGGAGGCGTGCTCGATCAGCTTAATGGTTTAACTAGAAGTTAAGTGAATGGTCAATCCAATGCGTTGTCGTATAAACCCGATAGGGCATACTAGAAGTTGTGCAGCCACTCAACACAAGTTGTCAAACAAATCTCACTTAAGTATCATAATCGACATACTTAAGGGAGAATTTTACTGATTAAACTTCATCTATACTAGTCTTACACCGTCTGTTCATGTGTTTTCGGAAAACTGCTTGGTTGGTTCTCATGCCTGAAACGTTCACACTTTAGACCGTCTGAGAGCGAATTTGGTAAACACGCTGGTAGTCTTGTGGCATATTCTGGTTTGACACTCAGAAATAGCGCATCAGGTCAGGGTGCTGACCTTGCAATAAGACGCAACTAGATTGATCTTAATTAGGCTAAATATATCGCATCATCAGTATTGGACGAAATGGTTAGATTAGTCAGTTTATTCGTTAACCTCTAATGAGAAGGAATGACAATTTGACTACTTATTATTCACCATTACACAACCGCTTATAACGATTCTAGTTTTAAAGTTCCAAAGCAAAACGCAAATGGTCATCTTCGCTTTAAATCGGGGTGGATCCCTAGACGGCATTCCGTAGGCGTTGAAAAATCCCCTAGAGCTATCACAGAAGGCGACAGAACGTTTGACAGTAACAAAGGTCGATGACCAACCGGTTTAGGTTCAAACTCTAGTACCTCGCCAATGGCAAGGGTGTGGACGGCTGGGTATGGCAAACATGGTAAGACTTCTCAACAATGGCGATGGGAGTGGCTCTGAGACAAATTATGAAGTTCTAGATTACTAGGGAAAAACGACAGTTTTTGTGACCAATAAATTAATGGTAAGCTGCATAATACTGGAAAATAGGCCGCTAAGGGGTCCTGTCCTATATACAACCGCAAATTAAAGATTTATCCGCTACCGGCTGCACACTGACAAAGAACCACACGAAACAAGGGTAAGTTCTTGAATTATATCCAGCTCGGGAACAAGTTAAAGGTTTCGGAGTCACGCCACGGGAAGTTTAGAGGGGTAGGCTTTGGGTTTAATTCTTATGTTTCGTATTCATCGTTCTAGCATTTCGACAAAAATTAGCTGAATCCCGTCAGGGAATTGAATGTTTAGATTGGCTGCCCCTTCGCATACAATGCCATCATTGCTAGAACGGAGAAGTGTGTCCTTTAAGTAAGCGCTGAGCACCTATCTACGATTTGAACTTACATTCTTCAGGGAAAACTGTAGGCTGGCTAGCCGCACTGCGAGGTAGGAAAGAACACCTGTATCGCACTGGGTAATCGGGTCCAGTGTAATCGTAAAGTAACGAGTAATTAAGAATCAGGACTGTTAG